TAAAACATTTGGAAAAACCAAGTATTGTATGATCAAACTTCCGAGTGTTACTGATCCCTTGACTCTCATCTCGTTAATATAATCTAACTATAGAAACTCCAATTGGCAAATTATATCAGGACTATTACCTAACTGCATTGCAATACCACAATTAATTATTTTTTAAAAAATGCAATTCCAGAAAAAATAAGTACCTTTCTCCATAGGAGGGGGTCCTTCCTCTCTCTAGGCGAAAGAAGATAATCTCGTAACCAAGAGGCAACTACCCATGGTTCACCCTCACCATCTATGCTCCTTGAGATCAACGCATTCTCTTCAAGTAAGTCGCAAACCTAATATCATTACCAACAGTTCAATGAACGTATAATATAATTGACCTCAGCAAGCCTTGCGAGCCCAAACACCAACTCTATAATATATGAAATCACATGACTCAATGGTCGTAGCATACCACCCTACGAAGAAATAATTTCTGCACACAAAGTAGTTTTTAAATGAGTTTCCAAAAGATTATGAACTAGAATATTGAATGAGGCAGAAGTAACTACCACAAGGCATGCTCAACCCCAAAAGGAATGATGACCAGAGTCCATAGGAATCATCACAGCCATTGCAAGTAGACAAATGATCATACTTAGCAAACAAAATTCATTAGAACTTGCAGAATTCATGAGCCAGACTTTTTGTTAACATTAATTACCACAAGGTAAACTGGTAGACCACAATAACAAAAAGACATGTACTTTTAGGGGGTTCACAATTTGTTCTTGTTTACTATAACACAAAAACAACCACCCACACTGCAACAAAGTACAGAAGCCATGCTTGAAGTCAAAACATTATAGGAATATAAGTATTTAAATGACCATGTATGGAACTCAATATGCTGCACATACTTCTTTCCTTTCCTTTTTTTAATGTGAATTTTCACACGCATTTTCTCCTATTTCTCCACTAAAGCACTTAGGAGTCATGAGGTACACAAGGAAGCTAAGAAGTGACATAGCACTACGCTTGTTCAGGTAGATAGTTAGGCTAATATATAGCACGAATTCATTAAAATGAAAGCATCTATTTGTTGTTTCAAAGCACCTAAAGCACATCTGTCCATAAGTAAATTTTAAGGCACACATACATGCACTTACAAAAAAAAAAGGATATGTGCAGATTATATTGCCTTCATGATTGATAAATTAAATGAATGTCATGGTGTGTACAATAGGCAAATGAATGCCATGGTATAGTGAAGGTCAAATGCAATGCTTACGAAATTAAGGACTGAAGCTTTTCTGGTTCTTACCTCCAAAACTAAGAAAATCGATTTACGGAGAACAAACTTTACCAGAAAATGCAAAGCTAAAAGTGGAACAACTTACTAATCCATGTATCGTCCTACAAGCAAGAGAAAAGCTATTTCTACCTTGTTATAGATCTCTTCAGCTCTAGTTAACAAGTAATGTCTCCGGAGAGCTTTTAACAGTATCAATATGCTTCCCACAAGCTGTAAATCTCAACATTGTCAACAAGCTTTAACATTCTGGTACCATAACATAAACTTTGAAATGCTGGTTTATATCATGGAATACCACTACACAAACTGGCACCAAAAGTAAAGCATGGTCGAGAACCCATTGGTGGATGCGACAGGTGATAGGTTTGTAACGTTCCACCAAAGAATCAGGACACTTGAACTCGTCAGGTCTACAAACAGAATCAAAGAAATACGGCCAGATTCTCAATAAAATTTCGTTAGTCAGGATACTGCAAGTATTGTTTCATGCTAATTCTGTTAGTAAAGGTCAACAGCAGCTCACCCACTAGTATAACCTCTTCTCTCCATCAACTTGCGAATATTCTCCATTGCTCTCAGTTTTGCATGAGCATATGTATGTTCATCCAAGCCATAATCTTCCATCACACGATGTTCAACGATATAGGTCGACAAATCATCCTTTTGCACCTAAGATATGTTGATAACAGGCAATAGTCGTCTCTTTTGCATCAATCAATTAACAGAAGCACAACTCATACATTGAAAAAAGTAAGGAAACTTCCTATGGGAAAAAGGAAGATTTTTCCATTTATGAATCACTAAACTTAGCAAGAGTTACAGACCCAAATGGTGCCAATTCCGCTGCACAAATATTGGGCATAAGCTTCACACAAGCGAACTTCCACCAACTCTGACTGCAGTTACATTAAAAGACAGTTGCTTTAAAATTTTAAAGAATGAAAAAGATGATACTTCTGAAGCCCTTGATATGACAGATTAATCAGACCCAGTTTTACCTACAATTTTCATTGCCGCTGCATTGATATCTCTGTCCTCGATGCATAAATTCCCCTGCTTTCTGTAGCCATGTTCACATTCCAGATTTCCGTCGTTACATATTCCATTACTCGGACAAGGTTCACAATTATCTACACCTATGGAGACTGGTTATGTCAGATGTAGAGAGCAGCAAAGGTGTGAAACACAATTAAGAATAGTTTTCTTCTTCTCAAAACATATGAAATAGGTGATAGTCCTCAGTCATTTAATTAACTGCATTACTTCAATATAGATCAGCTTAAGAAGACCTAAGCATTGATCTCAGTATAAGGAGCATAAACCAGCCTAATTGAGAGGTATAGTCTATTTCGAGCTTTTGATACATATCTTTCAACAAGATTAAATTTGTTGTTTGGAGCGGGTTCATTATTTCAAACAGGCTCTTGGGTCAATAAGTTCTTATAATTCAAGGAATCTCTATGAATGTGTACAAATAAAACCAAAAGAACATTCATAAAGCCAGGAGAGTCAACGACAGAATGCATCAACAATATTTCTTATTGAACTCTCAACGAACAACTGCAAACGATCATCAATAATTTTTGAATGATTTCCAAAAGGGATGCAATTATAAGTACTCTTTCTCCAAGTAAAACATCAATACTAGCCGACCAAAGGAAAAAAAAAGTACATAATATAATATAGACCCATTCTTTAATGGCTAAAAATCATTTTATCATATCACCAACAGAAAGCCAAGAAATGCCATAACTCCTCCAAAAAAATTGCCTACATTTATTTCTATTTAGCCATTTAATAACTTCACCCAGTCATCTACAATTTAAATAACCAGTCCAGAAAACAACCAAGAAAGAAAAATCAGAACTACAGCCTTTTCTCCCATATAAATTTCCAACCTTTCATCTTAATCTATTGATTAACACACTGGCATAAAACCAAGGAACAACAAATTTTTTTTTTCAAAGAAGACATAAATTTAGGAACAGAGAAATTATTGTGATCAGCCTAATTGAAGAAGAAAGCAAAACGCAGACTCACCAGAGAGAAAATCGACATCAACACCGCTATCGCAGAAGGGCTTAGGCTGTTGATTGAAATAAGTGACTAAATAGTTGCAAAACAAGGCGACGGAGGCTGCGATGGTGACGACGGCTATGAGCCTTGAAAACTCGGAAATTGACGATGGGAAGAAGCCGGGAGAAGGTTCGGGAATGGAGTACTGCGAAAATGATGAAGGAGAAGAAGAAGAGGAATGGGGGCTTAGGGTTTTGGGGCGTTTTCTGGAAGAAGAAGCCATGGAAATACTTCGGAATTTACGAATGAAGACTTGAAGAGGGAAAATGGAGTGCAGAGGAGAATTTATAACAGCAGCTCATAGAAGTTTCAGATTTATACTAAGCACCCTCAGATATTATCATATTATTTTTGGATGGCATATGATACAGGTAATACCTTTTCGTACCCCTTTGTAGTGAAATAATTTGAAAAGTTTAACTTAATTAGGAACCCCAAATAAAAAATAAAAAAAAAAGAGAATATCACAATTTGGTTAACAAAATGTAGGTTGAATAGTTTTTAATTTTACTCTTGTATGCATTTGATATGCTTGGCTCCTTATGGTTGAACTATCTTTGAAGCATTATAATTTTAATTTCTTTTTTGAATATATAAATCTATAAATTTTAAAAGAATATTTTTTTATAATATTTGTCGCATATCAGATTGATGTCATATAGGCTAAAAACACTGAAAATATAAAAAAGAAATCTTTGAACTATCTTTATAGCATTATAATTTTGATTTCTTGTTTTGAGTATATACATCAATAACATTTATGTGTTTTACAATATTTATTGCATATGCCAATGATGTCATATAGGCTAAAAATACCCCCCAAAAAAAATCTTACATACTAGTTCTTTATCTCCTTTTTTGTTTGGCTTCCACCTTTTTGCTCTTACCATCTTTTATTCTCCTTATACAACAACATAAAAAAATAATTAACATCTATCAGTTTATATCGTCATGTTATTTAGAAAAATTCCTAATATTTAATTTTTGTTCCATGAATCTATAATTACTGTTGACTCAATGTTCTAACTGGATTTCCATGTGACTTTTGTTTCAAAATTCTAGTAAATTTCTTAATTAGTGTACATCATAAATCATTTCCTTTCTTTTTTCCTTTTTTTTTTATCTTTAGTCAAACCTTCATAATTAATTTCAAAAGGGTGCAATCATTTTCGATGAAGTTCCTTGGTTGCATTTGATTCTTATACAATCGAAATATTCTAGCGCTGCATTTGAATTAAAGGATTTGAAATTCTTTCAAATCTATCTAGTTGTTTAAATTATTTTAAAAATATTTAAATTTATAAATCACCAATTATTTTAGTATTTAAAATATATTTTAATAATGACAGATTATAAATTCAAATATCTCTTAAATAACACAAATAATTATAGCGATTTGAATTGATTTTAAATCCTTCATCGGGTTCCAAACAAAATAGATTTCATATTTAATTCATCACAAGAAATTTTTACTTTTGTAATGATTGATCTTTAATTTTTTTCATAAATTACAAATCGACTCCTAACACTACCCATATTCCTCTTTTACCCCTTTGTTTTATCCTTTTCTTTTTTTAAAGTCGAATCATGTTCTGGCTTTTTGGAAAAAAAAAAAATCATGTTCTGGTTTTACTTAAAAACATTTGTTTAGCTGTCCGAAAATCCCATCCGAAAGAGACAACAAAACTGTCTGGCGAAAAAGTTCCATCGTACTTCGTCATTCCTACTGATTCAATTGCGTGAAAGGCATCATCAAACCCAGAAATACTGGCAAAAAATAAAATGAAAGAAACCTGAGAATCCCAAGAATCCGAAACCCCATTAGTTTTCTTGGCCTCCCTGAAATCCACCCTTCCCTTCTGGTAAGCATTGAATTTACCTGTATTTATACGTTTTTTGTTTTGTGATTTGTCTCTGTTTCATACTATTTTTTCGTCTGGGTATGCCTGAATTTTTCTTTTTACGGCTTTGATTCCTTGAATTTAGTTGAATACCATCTGGGATTGTTCTTTTTTATACTTCTTTTTTCTGTATTTTGTGAGGTGCATTGACTAAATGCTAAAGGATGCATTTTGATGAAACAAATAGTCTCTTGGTTCATGCGAGATCTCTTTTTCGTTTGGTTTTTAATATTCCTAGATGGAGTTGAGAATTTGAAAGTAGTTTCTTTTACCTGAAAAAGAAAAAAAGAAATAAGTTTCCTTTTGGGTTGTGAGTTGTGGTATGATTCATTCCTATTTCATGATTATTGAAAAATTTTTGAAGTTGAGGGGGAAAGAGAGCTCTTTAAATTTGAATGTACTTGAATTGTAGTTTAGATGTTTTGATCTGCATAACTTGCCTACAAAGGAAGCAGGTTTTTTAAGGGATTTGGTGACTGAAATGGAAATTCGATGTTTGGAAGAGAGGACTGTTGTTCATGAAAAATTGATTGGTAGAATAATGTAGTAATTGCTTGGTGTCCGTTTTCTGGCTGTCCATTCTGTGTGCTTTTCTCAGCAATGTATGAAAGCTAATTTTCTGGCTATCTCTGTGATAAGATATTTTGTAATTAAGATCTTGAAGCAGCAAATATAATTAATCTTTGTTTCACTTTCTCATCTGAAATGAAGACGAAGTATCTCTAACCATGTGGCCATCCTAAGTATGCATTATCACTATTGCAGTATGATGGTGATTTTCTTCATTTTCTATTCCCAGATTCTTATGCATTTCAATTGGACTTTTATTGTGATAACAAATTTGTCGACACTAGGGCAAACCCCAATGCACTTTGCTCCTCCTTTCACAGATGGAGCAAATGAAGAATGAATTCATGAGAATAGACTCCAGAAACTTGTTCTGAATTGAATCTCTGATGCCTCAGTCCTAGTAATGACCAGAAAACAACATGTCTTGGCTGTTTTTGTAGTGTCTACTCCACTGTTAGTTCTCCAAGTCCTTCGTTCCTGGATCACCCAAACACTGTCAATCATGGGTGGTCTTTTTTGTTTTCAATTTTCTGAATTTTCATGTTTATTGCTTGTTTTATTTTGAGACTAACTGCAATTCTATGATCTTTCTTTCAGCAGTTCATGGTTATGAATTGAGCAAGGTTATAATGGCTGACGTGCCGGGATATGTGAGGGCTTGTTTGCAAACAGGAAAGCTGGCTATGTTGGCAATTTTGGTGTCAGGGGGGATTGTATTGCAGATATTGGTAAGTTTACTGTTGATTACAGCGTTAGTTATAATTATATCTATTACTTGTTCTATGATAAGGAAGCTGCAAGATGCCTTGTGGCCTTTATTTCATGGTCATTGCTTCTTATTATCGCTTTGACTTTTGTTGCAGGCATGTGCTTTGTACAACAATTGGTGGCCAATGCTAACAGGTACAAGAATGTGAGATATTTGGCACGATGTCGATTACCTATTCTTGATAATTGCCTTCTTCATATGACTGTGATATCTTGGAATTTTCCTGCCATTTTGATAAAATAGGAATCTAGTTTCGTGCAACTTGCTTTTTCGCGCATATTTAATGTGGCAACCAGATTAACAGTTGAGCATGTTGTCTCAAAAGATGAGTATCTGCACTGCTCTGCAAACTATCCAAGAGGCCCTTTGTAGTTCAGAATTAATTAATTTTGTTGCATCGATGCCTTCTCAAAACGGTACAACAACTTTCGTTAGTGTCTGACAATTATACGATTGCATTGTCTGCTTGCAGTAATAATGTATGTGGTTCTACCTATGCCCTTAATTTTTTTGGCTGGCTCGGATACTTCATCTCTCTTCTCTGAATCTCAAAGTGGGTAAGGTTTTTTTTATCCCTTCCGCCCTGTTTCTCCGATGAGATGCTTTTATTCAAGTTCATTTATATGGATTTATTGGCCTTATTTGGTTTTCATGAACAATGTGGCAACAGCTGGGCAGATGTGACTAAATTCTTAACCGGGGCTTCAGCTGTTGGTAGCATAGCAATACCAATCATCTTAAAGCATGCTGGAGTAATTGGCTGGGGGGCAATGGCAATGGAGCTCTCATCCTTTTTCACATTTGTTCTAGCAATCGTGTGTTTCATTGGAACGAGCGAAGATGATGGATATAGCATCCTTTGAACGCGACTCTCTTTAAAAATTTCAACTTTTCCATTGTGCGGAAAACGTAGAAGTTGCCTTTTTCTTGATTGCTGAGCATTGCCTCTCATTTTGTGCTTTGTAAATACAAGAGTGGTTATTTTTTTCCAGTGAATGAATACCTGAGTTGCACATTAAACAATCTCGGCATTAAGGTCATATACCGCATCAGATGCCACACTTGCTGTCAGTGTCAATGTACAAGGTTGCAGAATTTCTGAAGGAATATCAAAGATACTCCTGAAGGCAGGCAATTTGTAACCATGGAACAGAAGTTAACCAGAATGCTGTATTACAAACACACCAGTGCTCATTGGTAGCCAAGACAAAGCATGGAAAACTTTCAATGTTTTGGTTCCACCAAGAACATTACAAGCAAAAGGATCCATCTATCTTTAACAAATAAGAATTGAACTGTGTCCTCTTTGTCCTCATTCTTTTTTCTGTTTCAACCAAGTTTAGCTGAATATTGAGAATGCATATCTTCATGAACCATCATGTATCTACAATGACACCAAGAAGATAGCAAACACTGCATATCGTATCTACAATGACACCAACAAGATAGCAAACACTGCATATCTTCATGAGCCTACACTTATTGTCACGATAACGTTTTAAAGTATCTACAATCAGTTGCAGCAAATTTGAACTATGAATTTGTAGGCGCAAATGCCATTTAATCCACTTTAACCACAAAAAGTAAAACTGCTGCATTCCCGCTATCATTAAAAAAAAAAAAAATTGGACTACTTTTTCCTCATTATGACGGAAAGTACATACTTTTCATCACATTCCACCATATGGTGAAACGGTTTCACGCCCTCTATGCGTTGTTCCATAGCTGAATTTTCCAAAGAAACAGGCAACTACACACCCTCTATGCCTTTTTTTTTTTCCTTAATATCTGGCAAACATGTAGGTTTTCATCCATTCTACTTTTCAAATCAGTCCTTGAAAACTTCTACTTGGTACTTACCATTAACCAAAAGCTTCTAAAGTCTCCCTTCCCTCACAATATAGAATCCAAATCATAGAGTCAAACGTAAAAAATGCATGCAATTGCTTCAATTTTATTTGACAAACAAACCAAGCAAATGTAAAAGCAACTTAAAAAGCATGAAGAGTTTAGGCTCAAATCTTTCGCTGCCCACATATATTTCAACATAACTTGGTATATGCTCTACATGGTACACCAATTCATATAAGCTCATCCTTATTGACATATACATAGTTATATAGTTACATACACAATACATGAACACATACACTCCCCATCCTCCACCCCCCTCGCAACCCTGCCAGTGCAATCACAGACACAAACAGAGAGCAGATCTAAACTACTAGACAGAGAGTATAAAAGCCCTCACGCCATCTCATCCTTCCTTGAAACACTCTTAAGCAAAGAAAAGCCGAGTTCTTACCTTGTAAAACAAGATAAAAGGACTCCAACAAATCTACAGCTTCTCCACTCTATCAAGTCCAGTTAATAACAGGGAAAATTTCAAGAACAGGGCATGCTTGGAACCTTATTTGATAAAGAAAGCACAATGTTCGGCAATCTATAGAAGGCCTTCACATTTTGTACAAACGTCAGTCCAAATGCCCTTCACATTTGGCCTAAAAACCTGAACCCTTTATTGATTAGGGCTTCAAGGGCGCCCTTTTCCATAATAATTCTACAGCAAATTGCAGGAAACAGAAGACAATGTGCATCTATCATCCAACAACGCAATAACCAATCTATCACAACAAATTTACTTCTTTCCTCTTCCTCCTCATGTTTTCAAGCGAATAGTACCCAAATTTGGACCCAACCAAAAAAAAGGGAAAAGCGAGTGCAGTAAAGGTCTTTATCATATTCTAATCAAAGTGCCAAACAGAGCTAAATTACAGAGAAACTTCAAAAATGAAAGAGGAAAAAAGATACAAGCTTTTTTGTTTTTTTAATATAGAAAAAACCCCATATGAACTGAAGAAACTCTACTCAGGATTGGGATTTTACTCCTCCTCACCATTTCCTCAAAAGCTAAGCTGAAAATTCTCCCTTTCTTTTTCGCCAACTATTTTTCCGTCAAAAGACTACGCGAAATTGAGGGGCGTCGGAGCCTTGAGCCGGCAGAATCTCCCAGCGGCAAGGTTCGAGCTCGTCAGAAACAGGGCAGAAGCCGGCGAGGGTGACCTTATCGGCAGAAGCGGCAATGGAACCGAATTCGAAAACGGTGATATCAGCTGGTGGTGGGCCAGGCCGCCGGACCTCCACTGCTCCGTTCATGCCGGGAACTTCAGAAGCGGATTGGGTTTTAACCGGTTCGGATGTTTGGGTCGCGGGTTTGGAGTTGGTATCGTTTTTGGTTCCCTTGAACCATGAAAAAATACCCATTGGTGGTGAATCAGTTATGTTGCTTACAAAATGAACTTCCAGAGAGAGAAAGGGTGCAGGGATTCTAGGCATTCCAGTTTTATTTGAGGAAGAAATCAAGAAAGAGGATAGCTTTCGTTGAGGGCAAAATGACGACAATGCCATTTAATTTTTGTTACTAGTATCATATTTTGGGACAGAAATAGAAGGATATTTAACTATTAGATGATCATATGGACTATGGAGTATTTAGATTTCCAATGTTATTTCCCTGTATAATAAACCAAGGAAAATCTGATGCATTTTTTATTTTTCTCTATCTGGTTTGGAAAAATGGATCTAGAAAGCTACTACATATTTTGGATTTGTTAGTGAAATTGTTTTGAACTCTATAAATAGAGTAATTTCATGTTATAAGTTTAGTTAGTTTTTACAAAGAAATAAACTCTTGTCCTTTATTTCTTTTATTATTTTTCTCAATAATTGTAACATTTTCAATATTATTTCGCTGTATAATAAACTAAGGAAAATCTGATGCATTTTTAGAAAGCTAGAATTCATATTTTTGGATTGAGGAATAAACGCCATGATTATGTGGCAAGTTATTCATGTAGCATGATGGATGGATTAATTTGCATTTTGGCCTTCAACTCTTTGGTGAGCTGCATCTGCTGTGAGTCACCCTTTATTTGTTTAGTATTTTTTTTCTCTTACATACACAGCCATTTTTGTGCTCCTAAAAAAGTGGCAAATCCAGAGAAACTTTTAGAAATAAATCAAAATTGGGATCAGACCCTTTTGTTATCTAAAATTGAAGAGTGAAAAGAGGGTTGTCATTCTCAAATTTCGCACAATGCTATAGCCATTGCAATCTTTATGTAGACTTATGGGCAAATTGATTCCTGTACTCAGTTATCATTGAGCTCATGATCTCACAAGAATGCTTCATTTGCTGAAGTTAAAATTGAAGAAAAACAGTTTAAAAAAAATACATTAACAAAATGCAGCATATGAACAAGATGATGATGCAATGCAACGTACTACACGCAGTGGAGAAGATAGAAAACAGTGTCGTCAACAACAGGGAGGGAAAGCAAACAAAGAGAAAGGAAAGCCACAGGATGTTTACTTCTTCTTCCCCCATAGCCGGCGGCTTCTCCATTTCCCATCATCGGCATAGAAACCAATGACAATTTCAGGAATGTGTGCCATTCTTCTGTAATCTTCCCTGTCTTCCTTCTGATTCCCCACCTTCTCTATCAGTCGAGAACTCATCTCATACAAAGACAGCCGTTGAAGATGGCTCAAGTGCTGAATTCCCGAAGGTAAGTCCTCTAGTGATGGAAGCTGTCTCAGATGTAGTCTTTGGAGATAAGGGCATGCACCCTCCTCCACTGTCATCCATCTCAACCCTTCCATTCTCCTTAACCACAATTGTTTCAGCTTTAGGAAGCCTCCAGCCTTGAAACTCAACCTTTCTCCCTGGTAAGATCCACAGAAAGTAATTTCACCCAAATTGGGCAAATGTTGGAAGGATTCAAGTGGATCCTCCTCAGCCCTCAACCCGCTCCAGATCATAAGTATTTTTACCAAGTTTTGAAGATGAGTTATCCACACTGGCATCGTTTCTAAGCGGCCACACATAATTAGCATACGAAGAGATTGAAGAAACGAACAAGAAGAAGAAGAAGAAAGAGAATGTTGATGATGATTTAGATCTATTATCTCAGAATCATCACCTTTTCCAATTGATTCAATGCTTAATTCCCGAAGGCTGGTGAGGTTGACAAGGGAGGAGCAGAGCTCCTTTCCATCTTCTCTTCTCAACTGTGTAATATATAACTCTCTTAATTGGGTCAATTTTCCTATCTCTTTAACTATTACAGACCCGCTGCTTGCATCTACGGTGTTTAATGTTTGTAGAGCGAGAAGCCCTCCCAATTTTGACGGACCTTTAAACCCATGAAATCCATAATCACTATCTGAGGGATCAACTCGTTGGAATACTGTGAGATGCCGAAGCTTTTGCAGCTTTAGGATTTCCACGGGTAATTCCCTAACTCCAGTGTTCCCCAAATTCAGATGTTCCAAATGTTGAAGCTTTCCAATAGCTCTCGGGACTCTTGCCACTTTTGTACCATATAGGCTCAGAAACGTGAGATGCAACAAGTCGAAAACCTCATTTGGTGTTTCCTCTATCTCTTCACCTCGCAATTCCAAAACCTTTAGCAACTTACTACTCCTTAGAACTTCAGATAGGAAAGTTTTGGATAGCAATGGGTTGGTGGAACTAACTGCGATGAATGATCGAAGGTGTTCAAAAGAATAAAATTGTCTTTGTTGGTGGTATTGGATGATGCTGCTGTTGCAACTACTATGGATTGCTAGACGGCGTACCTTCTCAGATGGCCACGTCATTGGTTGTCCAGTAGTAACTGTGACCATGTTTTGTTCCCTTGACTTGATGAGAATAACTTCTCTCATTAAGTCATGGATTCGACACGTGTTGGGTGATCCTTCATAAAACACTTCAGTTACTTGAATTAGGCTTCTACTGATGAGTTCACTGAGATAGCCCCAGGCTACATCTTCAATACTCATTCCTTCTCTCCATTCTACAAATCTTTCAGCAATCCATAATTGAATCAGCCTCTGGCATGCTATTAGATGATCCTCCGGATAAATGCTTAAATACAACAGACAGGGTTTGAGATGCGAAGGCAGATCGTTGTAACTCAGAGAAAGTATTCTTTTAACTCTCTCTAGCTTACCCCCAAGATTGTGTTGAATCATCTCCCATTCATCTATTCTGCTCACGTCCTTCGAAGCCAAGAGCCCACCGATCGCAAGAATCGCCAAAGGCAAACCGTCACATTTATCCAATACAGCTTTTGCAACATTCATCAGGTGGGTGGGGCAACGATTTCCTTTAAAGATCT